CTCATTAATGATTAATTAGTGATTAATAGGTAAATGTACCTTTAATAAAATGAACCATCTTGTGCAACAAAACTGTGAAAGACAAATCTTATGCTTTGTGTAGGTAAATTTGTTTTGGTTTGATTGTCTTTTACATCTAAGTATTTTTTCTAAGACACATAAATAAGAACAAAATATGGTGTATGTGCTGCATCTTGAGGAATGTGCTTTCATTTTTGTCAGCTATTTTTTATCACTTTCTCATACTCATTTCCCTATTGTGAAATTTAATGTGATGAATATTATGATATGCCATTTTTTGTTTTGCTGATATTACTTTAACCTCGGTCCATCCTGCTAAAAAGGCTTCTGTAATGATTCCCCCCAAAAAATGAAAGACAGGAAATGAAATGGGGAACCATATCAGCGTTACACATCTTCGACGATCGAGGAATATTTTTTTTAGATCACCACATGGAGCGCAGTTGAGCCAAACTCTCACTAAAAGTCTTCGCAAAATACCGTGCCTGCAGCAACGATTCATCATTGTAGCAGTTGGTTTTGTTCCCATATTTTTAAAACAGGTTAGTTAAAATAAGCAGGCTGTTATTCTCCTAAGATTTACATTTAATGCTATCTTGGTAACAATAATTTCAATAACTTTTCATATGCATAAATCTATGAAAGGATATTTTATTTTATATTATTATTTTGTTTTGATCAACTAAAAAAAATCATGTTGTCATTTATGTGATTACAGTAGACAGGGGTTTAGAGATAATATGGTTCTCTAAAATGTTGTGAGTTTTATAGAGGCTTGTACTTCAACAGTGTAAACCTAGGTTTCATTACCATTAATGACACAAGGACCCTGGGCACCCTGTCAGCTGTGCCACAGTCTCAGAGCTTCAATCAGAAGTATAGGAACCGCAGGGAGCTGTGTAAGCACTACAGAGGCAGGAACCATGTCTTTATTAACAGTACAGGGGCTCCAGGGCTCTGTAGAGTCCCCTGGGGTGCTTTTCATAATACAATAGTACCTCTTGTTGCCTGTTAACTCTGTAGTGAATGAGAATTTTATGGTTGTTATCTTTAGTGAGGAAGTACTTATTTTGTATACCAACAGGGCTAAAGGGAAGCGTGTTTAGAATTCAGATTCTAATCTGTATTTAGTATTCTTTACACAAAGGGTTGTGGTGTCTGGAACAAGCCACCCAGCCAAATCGTCAGAGCTGATATTATTGCATTAAAGACTAAAAGACGGTTCAGAGAACATGTTAGGGCTGTGAAGATTAAAGATTCCCCGAAGCCCATAGTTTCTCATTTCACCGCAGACGGCCTAGATCACACTGATCTATCTGTCTCTGTTCTCAAAGAAGGGTTTCTCAACTCCAATAGCAGGAAGACTACAGAAACGAAACTCATCCTGACACTAGGCTCACACCTTCTCCCTTCTCTCAATGAGCGACTTATTTTCATGTAATCTTTACACCTCTCTTCACACCTCTCCACTTTGCACTTCCCGAGTGGCCTCTCCCCTCTCCCAGCTTTTGTTCTCCTGTGCCATTTCATCTTTGCTGTCTGCCCTGTCTTTCTCACACCCGAAGAAGGCTTCACAGCCGAAGTGTTGTGTTTTCTCTCTTCTCTTTTCAGCATGGAATAAGCCTATTTCTTGTTCCTTTACATCTTTTAATACGTGCTTGTATGAGATGTTCAGATCAATTAGTTAGCAGCAATCAAATGAGCTAGATGGGCCATATGGCCTCCTTTCATGTGTAACCCTACTAAAAGCTTTAATGATTTTCATGGTGTTATTTTTTGCAGCACTTGTTTTAAAATCTGCAGTGACTGGTACACTCTGTGATCAGACAGTTGAGTTCTCTCCCTTTCATTTCCACACACAGCCTTCCTAGTTCCAGCTGTCTCTTCTCTAGCTCACATGATGGTGACTCTGATCACATAATGTCATGTTTCCTCCTCAGAGTTCAGAAAACCTGTTAATCCCAAACTGAAAAATGCACACTTAAAATATTGCAAATATACTAAGTAAAGAACTGACCTAAGAATCACTACATAATATATTTCATGCAGTTATCAGCATATCTTAGTTAGCTCTGGAAAATATGCAGCATTTTAATCTCTGAATTTTTTTTACAATTTTTATATTTTCTGTCAGTACCTTAAAGGCTCATTTAGAACACTGCGCATTCTTTTGGTCTCATTTAAATTACTGAATGACAGTATTCTAAATGAGGCCTTACAAGTTCCTTATACAATTTTCACATAACATCCTTTGATTTACATTTCGCACTTTTAACTTTTGTATATATCCTAGCAATTTGTTTGTCTTTTTAATGCCTTCCCCACATTTTCTGGTAAATGTAAGCAATGTTGCAACATAAACATCTAAATCTTTATTATTCACTACCTGCATGCTTTACCCTGCACTTATGTACAGGGTCATATGCTAGGTTCTTGACCCAGTCGTGAATTTTGTCTAAATCTTTTTTAGATTTATTTGCTGCTTTTATAGTGTTAGCTAATCCTGTACTTTGTTATCATCTGTAAACCTGGCTACTTCTTACATAACAAAAATACATTAAAGGAAACCTCCTCTTCACTGAAAACATACTTTCAATACTAACCAATGTTACTTGCAAAGGACAGCAAGAATAAACTTGTTAGAACAATAACGGAGCCACAAATATTAAGAAAGTGAAAAAGCTTAGGTTACAGTATTCTTAAACAACAGTCCTGGTTTTACAAGATGTGGACATCAAAGAAAGATGATGGGTCTCATCAATAATCATAATAATAATTATAATAATAATAATACATATAGATTTGGAAGTCTGATAGGAAGCCAGGACAGGAGTAATGTAATCACGTGCATGCAACCTGGACAGGATTCTGGTTGCTGAATTTGGACATACTGAAGTTTGTTTAGTGTAGAGTTAGATACCCCAGAATGTAGGGTGTTGCAATAATCAATCCTGAAAAAGACAAATGAGTTAAATAGCATTTCAGCCACACTCAAGAGATAACATAGGACACAATCTGGTGATATTTCCGAAATGAAAGTGATGTTTTTACAGTATTTTGCATATGTAGGTCAAATGTCAATCCTGGATCAAATATCACCCCCAAGTTCTTCAGTTTAGACTGAAATCAATACCATCCACAGTTGGTGTTAGTGCATTGGCTTTACATACAGTTTATGGGAAGTGTTGAAAAGCATGCCTTCAGTCTTGTCGCAGTTTAAGTGAAGGAAGTTTTGAGTCATCATCAAATGTTTGAGTCATCATGGTTTTTGTCAGAGATGCATTTAGAGTGCAGAAACAGCCACTTCAGTATCAGGTTTAGTATGGACAAAGATTTGTATGGATAGTAGGGACATAGTATGGATCATCAGTGTAGAAATGATCATTCAGACCATGCAATCATAATAGCTGACAAAGTGTGTACATGAAATAACTAAATAGTAGTTTTAAATGCCAGTTTAAAGCCCTTTATTTTTACCAGTCATTGCGTACTGACTCAACTGCAACTTTCAACATCAGATCTTTCTTTGGAGTAAACCATAAGGACAAATCAGGTATGCAAATAACAGAATGGTATGAAATCAGGGAATTAGAAAAACTGTTGCTGCATTTCATATTGACTGAAAAAAGATTACTGCTAAGGATATGAGCTTTTAGAATACAGTTTAAAGAAATCTTCTGGATTTTCCACAAGCTCTGTGTAAAGGACACAGTACCAGTTAATAACATGGTTTAGAGCAGCAACTAATACTTCACTACACACATTGTTGAAACAAGGATGTGCTTCATATGACCCAGCCTTTCAAACAGCAAGTGAGCATTGAAACATTGTGTGTTTGTTCATTGAGCACTACCTGGTTTAATACTGACTGGCTCTAGAAACTGAAATGGCCTAGAAAGGCCATTAGGGTATGATCCAACTGGAAAAACCATACAAATCACACACTTCCAATGAACAAACATGGCAGCCATTTCAAGAATTTAATCCTATCAGAGTTCTCCCTGTAATCCCATTACTTGATTAGGGAAGAGAAGAAAGCAGGAAGAGCCATCATAATCCTCCCTTTAAAGATATGGCAAAACATAAAGCAAATTCCCATTTGCATTGGCAGATTCAATTTTCTCTGCATATTATTTTCTTAAATGGGCAGCAAAGTGGTTTGGGTATTAGTGCCTTCCAGCACTGGTGTCTGGGGTTCAGTTTTGGACAGAGAGGGCTTTTATGTGGAATTTGTATGTTGTCTATATGTTATTGTTTTTGTGCAAGCTCAGTCCTTATGCTTCCTTTGGGCTGGCTTTCTGATGCAGAAGGAAGTTATGTTCTTATAGACATTACTGAAAGGTGCTGCAGCGCTTACAGAAAAGCGGTTCATCATGAAGACTACCAGTACATTCCAGACAGAGCACTTATAGCTTTGTGAAATTACAGGTGAACATTATGCAATGGGATGCACGCGTATCTTAGCAAATGTTATCATCAAGTGCTAGAACAGAAGATTTTAAAAGTCTCTCAACTGTCTTAGAACGGTTTTGTGTGTGCGCCCTCATTCAAGCCCCGCAGTGAATTATGGGAAGGCAGCCGCTTGAGGCTGCAGTCTGTCGCCACGCAGGGTCCCCTGGGAATTTCCTGCACATACTCTTACAGCATGATTGGGGTGTTCACATGAACAACCGCGCCAGCTGTGCCAAATTATCTTAACGTATGACAGTGGAAGAGGACTCATTTCAAAGTACATCCGGCAGCGTTTATACTAGAAAAACTCACCCATATGATCCCAAGTACTTGTATATAAGCATCTGAGACTTATTCTATTTTATCCTCTCTGAAATCTTCTTCTCTTAAAATCAGCCAAAATCTTGTCCCTGCTGCCACTTATCAACATATCTTGAATAGGCAGTGACAAGTGAGTAAATTATTTTCCTTCTTCATTGCACAACTAGTACCACAAACAACCATGAAGGAAACAAAAATGCACAGCATTTCTGATCTGACATTTGGAAAGGTTTATTTAAAGTATTTTCTAAAGAATTACAAAAGTAACAAGTTTTGTGTTTGATATGTACAGAACTCTGGTGCCATCCTGCAACTTGTATGTTAATATTTGCAAGAAAATAAAGTTGAAAAACTTTAACTAGCATCCAAAATTATGCAGTGCTAGTCTGAACATGTCATTACTGCAGATCCATTTGTTATCAATATTCTTCAGGAGAAACAGCTGGTGAAACCCCATCACAGGATCATCATCCACCTAGAAATGACAAAAAAACAGCACTGAAAGCACAAACACCCACAGCCCATAAAGTTTATTTAATTAAATTAAGTGTCCTCAATGTCCTGCTACACGCAGAACAGTACAGCAGTATCAATGTCTTTAATGTCCTATAAAGACAGATCTAGTCACTATATACATGTACATACACACCAAAAACTTTATATTTTCCTACTCTAAAAATGATCACAATACAATGTTATAAAACGTAGGGCTTGTTATTTAAGGCTAAAAGGGGTCCCCCTCACCTTTGTAACTTCTCATTTCATTTATAATGAAGTCCCAAAGTTCATGCATTTCAAAAGGCACTAACTGATCATGCTACTTAAACCAAATACACATCAGTCACTGCAATACACACCAGATGCTTTAATCTTAAAACTGCTCTAAACCGCCCAATGAAAGTTGGTGTATTTGTTTTAACTGCAGCCAATTGTTGTGAAAACATTTGGAAATTACATGAATTCTGCAGCAAATCAAATCGTTTAAAAGCAAAGAAGCCCATAGAATAGAATTTTGAAGTTTTAAAGAAACAAAACCATTCACAAAAAAAGTGAAGAGACCAGGCAAAACCTGACGGTCTTACACAATTCCTGGACAGCCAATGAGCCTAACCAGAGTGTAACCTACTGAGTTTGAGACTTGGCTTAAAAAGATTTAATTGTGATTTTCTGAAATAATCTCTATTCCACCAGTCAAGCTATAGACATGCCACTGTGTAGAGCCCTAGAGCAGCCAGACAGCTGTATTTATACAGTCTGGCGAGAGTGGATCCCCAACTCGAAGTTTCTTAAAAGTGGAACTATCCTTGTGCATGGAAGGGAGATGAGGGTGATCCCCAAAAGTACTGTTCAAGATGAGTTGCGTCGAGTTGCAGTTATACTGTAAGTGTGATAATTTCAAGCACTTTAGGCAACTGACCCACAGTTTGTGAAACATTCCTGAGCTGGTTGCCTCAGGATTTAATAACAAGGCTGCTGGCAAAACAAGTCAATGTACCAATCTCACAAAACTTGTCGAACTAGCGCAGATTTCAAGAAATCACAAGATGTGGACTTTGAAACAGAAAAAAACAGTTATGGTGCAATCAAGCCACATAAGAAACTTCTGGATTTAAATAAAGAAAAAAATGAGAAACCAACTGTCAAACAATCTGAAGCTATCTGAGTATTTCCCAAAGTTGGAAAACATGTCAGAACAGAATATAAGCCATTGAGGAAAAAGAATGGGCAGATACTACATCATTACACAATACCAGGAGAGTCAAAAACTCAAAGATATTTTGCTTAATTAATCATCTAAACCTGTGTCCTTTCCTAATAAATATTCCAAGACTATACATTAACTTCTATAGTGTTGAAGAGGAGCAGCACAATAAGTCTGCAGTTTCATTGCTGGGTTCCTGAAAAGCTGCAGGTCTTGGACAGACCCAGTTTCTTGGGATGTCTTTTTCAGATACTGGCAATTATTCTATTTTTATGCATTGTTTCCTAAGAAATTCACTGCAGAGAAGCCTCTTTACACGGATTTGTGGCAGAGAATCGCAGCTGAACTTCAGCATTAAAGCACTGCTGCATTTAATCACTTAGATAGGTTGGTACAGGCCAAAAAACGTCTATTACCACCGTCACCCAAACCCCCCCCAAAAAAAGAAAAAGATTTTGTACAAAGTACACAGATCCTTCGACATCAGCATTAGATGCACTGAAGTTTTCCAGCTTTTCAAATCAGATACATGATTTTCCATTCCCCTAAACAGTGCGATTTCAGCACCCAATTAAATCTGGTAAACGATTCCCCAGGTGAGCACGCCCGCGACCCTCACCTTCAGCTGCCCCACCACCATGCTGATGACGCAGCTGTCGGGGGTCGGCTGGTGATCCTGCGCGGTTATGCTGTGCTGGATCTTCTGAAATGGCAGATTCTGGGGGGAGAAAGGCCAGAAGCAGGTTGGGAGGTCCGGTTAGGCGTTACAAAATCAAATGACATTCTTGGTCGCACTCAACCAGAAAGATTCCAGCCGCTGGACGGTAGAACAGGCCAAGCTGGGTGTGCGAGACTGCAACATCTCCGCTTTGTGTAACGCACCCTGTCCTGCTAAAGGATTTCTTTGCCCTTTACAACGAGACATCTGGCTCATACAAATACTCATTTCTTTTTGTTATTCTTAAAAAAAAAACCCATAGATCTCTATCAAGGCTGCAAGATGACCTCTGGAACATTTGTGGAATCAACAGGGCCAAGTGCTCTGCATCAGTCTCTACCTCATTTTCTACACAATCAGTACACGCCAATTTCAGAGAGGGCGATAAGGTATTCATGATCCTGTATAAAACAGGGTTATCTAGCTCCTAGATGTACAACTACACTTTAAAATTACTTTTTACAAAGGGGAAATTAAATTCCCCCATCTGCACCATTATTCTGTCCTAAAAGGTGCAGATGACTGGTCAGATTTACAGTACCACATGAGAACAGCTGATCAGAAGAGCAACAACTTTTCCCTCCCGATTATGAAGTTTGAACACGACCATTCCGCCCCGTGTTAAATAAACGCCAACCCTAAGCACTGCAGGAATTACAAAAAGAGGGGCACAGCACAATCTGGCACATACAGGTAACAGTTGCTCCAATATACATCTGATTTCAGAAATCAGATTTTCAACTTGGGTTTTAAAGAACTAATTCATACTTACAGTCAGTTTTTCCATAATCGCATTCTTGCCTTGAAAGCCTTGTCCTTCCCACGTCAAACAGGAGGCGTCCGTCTAGGACGAAAAGACAAACAGCTCCAGAAAGAATAAGCAGAACTTCAGGAAAAAGGACGGAATTCCCAATTAACTAAGATACACTTCGCTGAGGTAATTCCCTTTGTAACCAAAGGACAATCTTGGACAACCGCTTAGAAAAATCAGAGACGACTTGGAGGAATGATCATCTTATTTAACAGGCCTCCTCCCTATGTGCCTTGTTACTAAGCCCTTTCAGTGAGGAGCACTTCACATGCTTCCTACTGACCCCACAGGTTCTTCCTTGTCCTCATAGGTTAGCTGGCTACACAAACTACCCCACCTCAGGAAAGACTTCAGGGGAGGGGCAGAGCGAGAGCCCAGCGATTCACGCAATATTCTCAACATGACAAGCGACACGTCTGTATGGAACATCTATGCATTTCTGAAGTGCATCGCTGCTTTAACTCTGGATTACTGAAGTTTGATTTTAAGCCTTGCCCGTCCGTCTCAAACAGTACGTGTCCAGAGTTAGGGATGCAGCTTCTCAACAGGTTTCCTCAAGGAACAGGTACAGTACTCACATAAAGGTCTGCCAGAAGCACCCGATTAGTGTCAAACTGTTGGTAGTAATGCTGTACGAAACCTGCTCCAATTTGCTCCCACACAGGCTTATTTTCCATGATGACCTATCTGAAATAGTTCGAAAATAGATTCGTTATTTTTACACACCAATAAGAGACACGAAGCGAGTACTGCCGCAAAATCGCACAAAGCAAGCGCCGTGACTCAGAAACTCACAAACCATAAACTTAATGCCCAATACGCAACTATATTAAACTGAGTTTCTCTTTCACACTGCACAGACATGCTTTCCACAGGAGAACAGCTAACACGTGTGACTGCGCAGACCTCAAAGCAAAAATGCAAAACCAACAGTGGTTCTTATTAATAATGTATCTTTTACTACTTGTACATCATCTTCATTACAGGCGAGTTTTGGGCGAAACTCTGTCTCAGAACCGGAAGTTTTTTTTTTAAACTGATTTCACTCCAGAAACGTGGGCAAGAGTTACACCCGACCATTCCTCAAGTTTAAACCGGTTCTAATTTCCTCGCGTTTGTAATTTCGGATTTTATATTTCCGTCTGTACTCACAGTTTTGAAGCAGCACAAAATCCTCTACACCTCCTTGCCTGAATCCGGGAAGAAAGAAGTCCCGCTCAATCTGTTAAGAGTGAGAGCGAGCGTTTCCGACCAATACCATCCGCGGCGGGGAGGGCCGTGTGCCTGAGCTCTGGCCACAGAGAGCGCACCCCGAGCGCAAGCACGGCCTGCGTTGGAGGAAGTCTCGATAACACGAGGTTTCCCGAAGCGTACAACGTCGTAGTGGTAGTAGCGATTCGCACGAATTAGAGACGCCCCCGAGTCTGATCCTGGAAAGCAGAAATACAGTTAGTCTCATAGGTAACCATAACTTACTTGTTTTTTTTTAAATTAAAATCAGAAACGCTTATTAATGATCAATTAAGCAATTGATTTCTCCAGTTGAACCCGCTCTGTTAACTGGGGCTGAAACGTATTGCCATTTTAGTTCCAAATGATCTCTCGTCATCTTTAAATTGACCACAGTTAACTTGCTTCACGTTTTTACATATTGATGGCTTAGTGGTTACCTATAAAACCTGTCGTATTGGAGCATAATTAGGCACCTTTTTCATTAAAAAAAACAACTGTCCTCCGACCTCCCCAAAACGGCATCTGTTATTATTATTCAGCTAATTTAACAGAAATGAACACGAACAGTCAAAAAAGTCATAAAGAAGGCTAATTAAAAAGATAACCAGCTCTCCGAATGCTTGGTAATGCCTTTTAAAGACCACAGACTTTAAGATCTCTCTCTTTGTAAACTGCGAGCAGGCAGGACTGTACTGTCCCCGGCGGTATTTGCTATACGCACCTGATGAGCCAGTGAATTCCTCTGCACTCTCGAATGGAGAGAGATGTGCCTCTCTGACGCAGGCCGCTTATGAACGGTGTCCTTCAAACAATATTCGCTGCTGTGGATTGTATTTTGCTATCAAATCGTCCTTTTAATACCTGCCTACAAAATAACGCAGGTGACGGCTGGACACAGCCATGTTTTAACAGAGGATGCTGACAGGACTAGGGAGCTTAATCTGCCGTCCCAAGAGGACACAGGAAATGCTGTTTTCGGATTAGCTGCTCAGTTACTTCCTGTCTTTCTGGGTTATGTGATTAGTCATCAACAAAATTAATTATTTACTAACATTTATGTGTACTTTTGATATTTTAACTGGTTTCCCCAGTTAATGTAGTTTGATTTTGTCTGCACATGTGTACAACTCAGGCACAGTGGTTAGCAGTGCTGGGGCGCTGGGTTCAATTCCAGACCTGATTAGTGATCTGCATGGCGTTTGTAAATTCTGCCCATGCTAATATAACTTTCCTCTGGGTGTTTCAGTTTCCTCAAACTCTTAATTGGCTTCAGGGAAAATTGTCCCTGGCATGAGTGTGTGTTTGTCTCTCTGCCCTGCGATGGACTGGCATCGCACCCAGTTTATACCCTGCCTTGTGCCGCTGCTTGCTGCGATAGGCTCCAGGTCCCCCACAACCCTGGATAAACCAGTTGGAAAAATGGATGGATGCATACAACACACAATATAAACTACAACAACAGTTGTTTTGTCCACAACACCACTGAGGAGAGGCTGATCTCAGATCCTACTCTTTTGATTACACAGCTGTCAGGAACAACAGTGTTCTGTTAACCCTCTTCCTACTTCACAGTAGGAGAGACTACACTCTAGACTGGACAGCAGTCCTTCACACACTAACACAGGGGAAACTTAATGATGCCAATTAACTATGCATGTTTTAGGATTGTGGGAGAAAACTGGAACACTTGGTGACAACCCACCTGGACAAGGGGGAACATAAACACTCCCCCGTCCAGAATCGAACCCGGGACCCAAGAACTATGAGGGAGTGAAACTGCTTTCAAAGAATTAACTAAAGCCTTTTTAGATGTATTCAGTGCCCATAAGAAAGGCACTAAGCACTTACATTCCTGAGGAAGTCTTGCTCCAGTACTCTTTGGAAAATCTTTACCAGTTAGAAGTGATTTCTACTAGAGCTCCAGGGTCCCAAGAATCCTGATTGATCCAGAAAAGTCCCCAGGCCTGACCAAGCAGCGATGGCGTGGAAAAGGAAAGCCATGGCAAAATATGACAAAACCTTGTGTAAATGGAACAAGCATGGTGTACAGCTGCCTACCGAGATGTACCGACATGGCCAGATAGAGCTGCTATCTGGATTAATTTCCATTAATCAACAATAAAAAGGAAGAAGGCTTGACAAAAAAAAATACCACAACAAAACTATTAACTAAAGTTTCGGTCAGTTCCGGCATATGTTGATGTGGCTCCAGCCTGGGACAGGATGCTCATCATCTTTCAGTTAACTATAATTCTGAAACTACCTCAGTCCTGCATCGTGTTGTTTAGACTGCAGACTTGCTCTAGCACTCCATTACATTAGAGCCTAAGGGAGAGTAGTCTTTCTGCTGACAAAGTCTTACACTGCTGCAGGGGTCCCGTTAGGTTCAAGAAGGTAAAAAGCAAGTTGTACATTATTAAGGATTCAGTCTACTTATCCTCTTTCCAGTTACTGAAAAGATGTGCTGTACTGAGTGACCAGCCCATTGGGTCATAATTAGCTAATTGATCTGAGAATCTCATCCAGCCTTTTCTTGAAAGAAACAAGGGTTTCAGCTTTAAACAACACGGCTGGGTAGCTCGTTCCACACTCCCACCACTCGTTGTGTAAATAAGCACCTCCTGCTCTCAGTTTTAGATGCAATTCCACGTAGTTATCACTTGTGATCTCTAGTTTCACTCTCGCTACTAAAGCTCACCGGCCTAACAGTCAGCGCTTTTGTTATACTGCATATGTTATATCCTACAGATAGTCCAGAAACCCTAGAGATTAATGTTGAACAGGTCGAGGCAAGTTTAAATAATTGGTAAAAGAGGAATATCATAGAAAATGGCACTCAATGTGGCAAACAGTCAAAGCTGAAACACCAACTTATAAATTAAACACAAACAGGTACAATTACAGACACAAGTATTGGCACATTCCATCTTCAACAACATTATTAACTAATTTATGAAGAGTAAGAAATACAGTATGTTAAACTGTACTTATTTGACAGCGATATCTGAAAAGGGATTCAAGATTTCTAGTACATTAATTTATGACACAAAATGCTTATTTCTTGTTCTTATTAAGTTCACATATTTCTGTAAAAATCAGTTCAGTCACTCGCAAATACAAATCGCTGGTCAGACTTTGAAGACATATCACAGTCACATAGGTACAGTTCAACAACAAAAAAACAATTTACTTAGTGAATAATTATGCTGAATGCATTGTGTACCAATGCATATGACTGAATGTATAACAGAATGTTATCATATAAAATACTCATGTAAAAAAAGTGATTTTAAAGCCACCTCGACGTGAAAATTAAAAAAAAAAGCTTCAGCAAAAGAAATAAACCACAACATCATGTTAGTTGAAATTCTTTAGTAAACAACTCTTCTGCAACAAGCTTTTGTCCTTGGCAGGAATCTCCTAGCATAAAATACTGGAGTAGTTAAATCTACAACTTGGAGTTCCTAAACCTGTTACTTCAAAAAGCCAAAGAGTTAGCATTTTAATTTACAAAACACATGTTGGGCTCTTGATTGTGTTCAGCAGCCTGGACCATACACCCTTACAGAGACCAGGGTTGGTTAGTGTTCTTTTAGTTCAGCATTTGGCTGAAGGAGCTGTAAGACAACAAAAGGACAAGGAGAGGCACTTTAAACAGCATCTTCATCAAGATATTTGTCCAAAGCCAAGATACTGTTCAGAACTTCCAGCTTCAGTCTTCTCCATGGTAAAGCCTGCCTTTGAAATCCTCCACCTGCTTGTATGGATCCAGCACTTGATCTACTGAATGACCTCGATATGCTTTTATTCTGATGCTATTGATTAAAGAGAAAAGTATTGCTTAAGAAAGTCGAAAGCTTTTAAAGGTAACACTGCTTTCCATAGGATAAGTGTTGCCTCCAAAGTCCAGTCAAGTCAAACTCTGATGCAGTAGCCCATCTCCAGAGATAGGATTATTATTCTGCTGGTGTTCTCAAGTCTCCCGATGGAGGAGGAAAATAATCTTCAGTCCTGAAAATGGGAGGAGGCTCTTGGCGATGCTGTGGTCTTCTGGGGCTGCTTGGTTTCTGCAACAGAAAGATGTTGTTAACTCCTCCAGCACGCTTACACCCCTCCCACCCGGGAGATACCTCTGCGTCCCCTGGTGTAACGGTAATAGACTCAGGGAATCTTTCATCCCCTGTGTAGTCTCACACCCAAACAATGCAAAAGAACTCTCTTATCTCGTGAAGTACAGCTGTACTGTGTTCATTGTTGGTGACGTTGGTCTGTTTTTATTTGATTCTGCTGCAAGATAAATGTCCCCCAGGAGATAATAAAACTTGAACTGAATCGAACTGCTGTATTTGTATTGGCTGCATGTGGATGTGTGGTTATAGAGACCAGTTGTGTGCCCAACAGTGTGGATGGTAGCTGAAGTATTCATTTTTCAGTTTTGGCTAACTTTTAACACAAAGTTAACCCACACTAAGACCCAGTTCCTCAGTTAAATGCTTTTGAGTAGCTTTACAAAATTTGAATGCGTTGATGAAGAAACTGAAAATTAAGCTCCTACAAGGGCAACATGCCACAAGTCTCAGGCTTTTACCATACTGCTTATCTTATTAAACCCACTACTTTATTCCTTTAAAATCACTTGGTTGTGTCTTAGTTCCACTACCTATCATGAAAACATCAGGTCCTCACACTGGTGTGATCAGAGATAATTAAAAACTACTCTTCCTCTGAAAGGTAAGCGCAGAAGAAAATTGTTTAGGCAGCACTAATGGTACCACAAGGTCAGATCACAGAGTAAAAACAATCTTGAAAATGTCAATATAGAAAAACTTAACTGAGTGTATTTTATGTTTAACCCATGTTTGCATGGGTTTCCTCCAGGTGCTCTGGTTTCCACAGCCCAAGAACAGACTGGTAGATTAACTGGATTTGGGGAAAACTGGTGTGTCTGTGTGTGTGTGTCTGTGTCTGTGTGTCTGTGTGTTGGCACTGCGATGGTCTGGTCCCCTATCCAGCACGTATCCTGCATTGGGCCCTTTGCTTGCTGGGTTAGTCTTTGGCTACCACGCGTCCCTGATTTGGAAGAAGCGGTTAGAAAATGCATGGATGGTAATGGAGGTACTCACGCTGAGAAACCCAGGGACGTTCATCGTGCGGAAGATCTTTCTGAAAGCGCTGGGCAGGGTGGACATGTCAGCCTCTGCCTGTGTGACCTGCTCCTCCATCACACCAACGTTGTGGCTGACCATTTTAACAAAAGCCTGAAATGCACACAATGACACTAGATCAGCCTTCTTGTCATATTCCGCAAGAATTATTCAAAAACAACCGACTTAACAGGTTACCAGAATATTTCACGCCTCACAGCATAGACAAATGCAGGTGTTTTGTAATTTTTTCCTTAATGATTCAGAGTGACAGACTTATTAGTACACGGACAGTTTCAGCTCAAAATAAAGTTCTTAAGAGTGGCTCTGTTGTATGCATTTCAGTTTCTGCTATGTTTCTCTTTGCACTGCTATTACAACACTATATATTGGCCTAATTTCTTTATTTGTATAGCTATATACAAAAACATGCAACCAATATTCTTTTTCCTCTGACAAAGCAATATTCATAATGGATGTAATGAAAACAAATCGTCCACAATCATGCACCATGTATTTTAATAATTTTCCAAAACTTTAACTTTTGTCACTCTCACATCTAAACTCAGTTCTTCAGCTTTTAACAGCTGCCAAAATAAAACTGCACATACAATCTTTTTTTAATACTGGTAAGCACCCAAACACTGTTTTTAAAGTCAGTAAACAGCCTGTTTCTTTAGGATGATCTTGGCTTCGATTACTTTCTTTGTAAATGCAATGTTTCATGAAGACGAGCGTGATCAGAAATGCTTTTCCATGTAATAAACCAGCACATTTTAAGGACTTTATAATTAAAAAAATTAAAAAAGTAGAAAAATTCCTTTGAAAACTCTTTTTCAAAGTCTTCATAGTGTTCTCCTACACCAGAGTCTGGTAGTGTATAGGCTTTCCTATACTTTTATCAGTGTTGTTGCTGTGTGTATGCAAGCTGGCCATATCTTGCACAACTGTACCGGACAGTACTTAATGAGACATGGGCTGAACAGGTTTTCACATGGCTTCAGCTCCGTCTTAAAAATAAATTCATAAAAGCTATATGAAAAATCAAGTTTTTTTCCAGTAAAAAACAAATCATATCTACTTAATAACCTGATACATGCATTGCAATTAATACTTGTTCTATATGTACACTTACTTCCAATTTATCAATTTTTCTGTATATCTCTCTCATTTCTTCAGATTTCCTGTGAATTTGAGGTAGATTTTCATTTACGACCTGAGAAGTATCATTTCGAATCTGGATAGGAAAAAAAAGACAAAGGGCTACCTTACGTTTAAACTACTGATCTAGGGAGATATGAAGAAGCAGACACATCAAACAGTCTAGACAGTGGCACTGCAAGACATTAGGAGCATATGCATTACAATCATACCATATGTAGGCGAAGAATCCTGAGATACATAGAATATCAAGTTACAGCGCAGTATAGAGAAACAGAATCTGACGGCTCTCTACCTCTGCCTTGTGCAAATAATACATCACTCCCTCTGTATTTAACAATGTCAAATTTTTATTCCCCAGTTTCCTTGTGCTGTGTAAGGCAGACAGCTGTGCTCACAGATCTACCATGTAATCTTCTAGTAAGGCTTAATACAGAGGTAATTAGCACACCTGGCACACAAACCAAAGAAGACAGTATATTGCATACGCAAATCCTGAATTGTACATACTGTATGTTCAGACCTATAATGACTGAATGTGTAGTTTCAGTATGATGTTTTTTCAAGTGCAAGAGTTTGAGGAGACTTCACAATGATTAAGCAGTAAGACATACATTATTAAGTTGAGGATACCTTTTTTGTGTGCTCTTAACGACCCTTAGACCTACTACCTCCAGCAAGATGTGGATAGGCCCCAATCCATTTTAAGCAATGTCAATTTGTTAAACGCGTATGAGACAGTGAATCTTGTCTTGCATCCCTGTATGCTGAGGACCAGAGCACAGCTGTTTGGCACCCTGACTGTTTGTATAGAGACAATGCAACCAATGTTTTTAAAATACCTGAATCCCATTTTAACACTTTTGGAAAATTAAACTATCACCTAAATGTGACTGAAGTAAGGTCGGATGTTCTTGTGAAAACCTAAGAAATCAGGTTCCAAATCAGAGGAGGTCATTCTGCCCATCTAGCCTTTTGGCAGTTAACTGATCCAGGGATCTCATACAGTCATTTTTGAAAGGATCCAGGATACTGGCTTCAACAACATGGCTGGCTAGCTTGTTACAGACTCCCACAACCCTTTGTGTAAATGCCTCCTGTGTGAAAACATACCATGTCAAGCATTCCAACAAACTCATCCACTCTGGTAAGCATCTCCTCCAAGCTCTTCTCTAGATCCCGAATCTGTGCAAAAAGAGAGAATCAAGATCAAGAATCAAGAATCAAACACAGTGCTTATGCATGAACATATTTTAAGAACAGACTATTTCCAATAGCCTAAGAACAAATAAGTCTGCTGGGTTACGTCCGATGGGAAACAACTGAGTTACGACTTTTCTTCCAAGGCAGCAATCAGCGATACGCCACCCTATAGCTATAACACGGGAGAGAGGGGAATTATTTGCCATATACTGTATACATGTACATAGGGATTCTTATTTGTGCTGCTCTCTCAGGACGTGCAAAGTGCAATAGATTGGGCGGGGCGGTGGCTCTGTGGCTAAGGATCTGCGCCTGTGGCTAGAAAGTTGCCGGTTCAAATCCGGCGGCCAGCAGAGGAATCCTACTCCGTTGGGCCCCTGAGCAAGGCCCTTAACGCCAGCTACTCCAGGGGCGCCGTATAAATGCCTGACCCTGCGCTCTGACCCCAAGCTTCTCTCTCCCTGTCTGCGTATCTCATGGAGAGCAAGCTGGGGTATACGAAAAGACGAATTCCTAATGCAAGAAATTGTATACGGCTAATAAAGTGATCTTATCTTAACCTACACCGCACAACGTAGTCGGCACGTTATAAAACAGCAAATAATACAAAATGACAGCCACAGGCGACCATGCACAACACAGCCTCACACGGCGGCACAACAGCAAGCACGGGGATATTTAGGATCAAGATCTCACCTCCACCCCAACGTCGGCTCTGAGGTAGGAGGAGTAGCTTTGGGCAGTGTGTCTCAGCAGCTGCTCGTCCTCTTCCACGTCCAGCGGCGGCGCGCCGCTGCTGAAGCTGTGGCTGTGGGACACGACGCCGCTGCTCAAAGCGTCACTCGTTACCGAGGCGCTGCTCTCGCTCTGCGACACATTGCCGCTGTCCCGGCTGACATCGGCGCTCGACTCCTCCACCGGGGACAGAGACCCCACACCTTCTGACCGATGCTCCATCTTACCTAAGCTTTCTCCTCTTTCCGTGTTGTGTCAGCTGATCCAAATCACGCGGAAGAAATAAGCGGAGCAGAGGAGAATGAGACGGGGGCCGGCAGAGCTCAAATCGCAAGCCCGTTTGGACTGCCTTATCTACGGGTCCAAAAACAGAAAACGCCGTTCTTCGGATTTGGTTATATAAGCTAGTTCTAAAGGTTTTTTTTTTTTTTACTTTCACGGTCTATCGTGAAGTTGTTGCACGGATACAGTGCTGACAACAGTTCTCAATAAATATTTAGTAGTTGTTAGACTGAGTCGCCGCCTACAAAAGTTTGCGAACAACCATGTATTGGTTCGTGGCTGGGTAGTTTAGAGCACAGAGTAAAACATTTTTAATAGGATTCCCTTATTAACAAGAAGTTCCCAAACACAAGTGTCTTACCTACCTAGAGGAACTATTCATTGCAGGTCTCAGTATAAGCACATGAGAAAGATCACAGATGAGTTGGTTATAATTTAGTTGTTCATATTTTGTTCCTAGACTGCTAGCAGTTCATTGTTCTGAAAATACCTTGAAGGACCCCAGGGATTTCTGGCAACTTTTTCCAGACAGCAAAAATGGGACTCCTGTTGTGCAAGGATGTTGCTCCTGTTCTCAATCCTGAAAAAACATCCCCTTTCTCAGGTCTGCAGGACCCTGTTCAATAACCTCAAATAAATATTCCAAATAATAGGAAAGAATAAAACCTCTTTTTGTATTTTTAAATAAAATTTCTACTCCACAGTACCCCTCCCCTCACGCACAGAACGAGGAAGGAATTCTGATCACTTGCACTCTCCTGATGCTCCTATTGTTTATTATTGCACATTCGGCTAGATGTGCTCTTTAAATTCTCTGGATTTATATTTTACATCAAAGTCCAACTTGCTACCTGGCATGGCTGCCAATATCCTGGCTTCTTTCAAGAAAGGGCAGGAGGAGATCAATTACTAACAACCAGATGGACTGAAAGGACTATTTCAGCCTTAACAGTAAATTTCTGAATTTTGTACTTAGTTTGTTTTTTAAGAAAAATGTGATGCTGGTGTCGAGATGATAAAAACTAATCATATGGCCTCCTTTTGTTCTTTCTAAAAAGAGCTATACTTTTCCGCAAGTGTCTCTTTTTTAAGCCAACAGTGCTTTAGTACACAAGCCAAGATGCAACTCGAGCAGATGATTTTGGATTTTTTCTAAATGTACAAAGTGTCAGATCTGGTTACGTAACGAAGGACTTCTTAGAATGTGACAGCTACAGCAAATTGTAGGTCTAAAAAAATTGCAAATCCAATATTTGGGCAATATTTGTGGAAAGATACTTGTATTTGACACACTTACTTTCACACTATTAAAACAGCTGTCAAACAAAATCCAGATCTGGGGTAGTTCTTCCAAAATTGGAGCTAGTTCCAAATAAAACAACAAAAGCACAGCAAACCATAATTTTTGCATTTATTTATTCATTTCTTCCTTACAAAATACAAAAAAAAATCAGTGGTAAGAAAATATGGTCATCATGTTTTACATACACAATTAAAATGAACCGTATTAATTGAGAGTTCAGCTTTCACTAACCTTTCACTGATGATTCAACATCAGGATGTATCATAAATGTCTGCAGAAAAGAAATAAAAGGCTTCAGAAATACTCTAATTAACCTAATTAGAAAATAATAAAAACTACAAGGGCACTTATGAGAGGCTAAGATTTGGTAAAAAAAAAAAATAAAAGCAGTGGAATTTAAGAGGGACATTTACAAAGATCTATTTTATTTTCCTAATCCATTCTGCAATAAAAACAGATCCTGAGATGATTATTTTGTTTGGCATTCAGTACAGCACTGTTCTCACTGCTATGGTTCACAAAGTTTGCAGTCTTTGGAAAGATGTTTTTAGTGGTTCTTAGGAATTTTGTCAAATATTTTAAGATTTCGTTATTTAGAAAATCACAGCAAAAACTGACTCCACATTAGTTTCCCTCTAAATAACTGCACTGTGGCCTTCACTTTATAACAGCATCACATAACACTGATATGTTCAAAGCCTTGGATTATCAAGAGTCTGTTAACTCAGTGTCAACCTGTCCTTTGAAATGAAAACTCAATGAACTACTGCAATAGAGAAAATGTCTTGACAACCCTCTATAAATTCCCTTGTTCCTTTGAGCGCAGGATGACTCCAATTCATTTCAGCGTTCAAAACCACAAAAGATGGGGCAGAATTGTTGGAGCAATGTGCTGCTGACTTGTGATATAGAGGAAATTTGAAAAATCAAAACAACAATGTTTAAAGTTCAAACATTAAAAAAAGATGTATTAAATAATGATTAGATCTTAACATAATTCTGTATATTAAAAAGAGGGAATCTGCAAACACAATAGAGGTCAGGGGATAGCATCCATAAATACAAATAAAAACTATTGGCGTTTTTTGACTCCACAATGTAATAAAACAATGGTACCTCCAACTGTTGTAAAACAAAATATTAGAAATCAACTTTATATCTGTGAGAAAAAGTCCAGGGAGAGCACTAGAAATTATTATTTAGGTTTACCTTTAGAATCTTTCAATTTTCCTGGCAGGGTGCCTGGAAATCTTTTTTCACTGGTGCAAATACCTCCTCTCCTCAGCCTCCTCAGCAAAAAAGACCCTCAATCAGCTTCCATCAGCAGCTCACCACAAACTGGAAGAATAAAAATCTCTCTGGACCTCACATTTTAGCAACTGCTGCAGACGAAACATGCTAAATAAGTGGTCCCATTTCTCACAGACATAAATCTATCCGAAACAAAGGGGCTTTTATCGTACCGGTGGATTTTCTGAAAACATTAAGACTTTGTTGCTATTATTCAATTCTTATTGTTCGTTACACAGTCCATGATACAAAACATCCGTTTTAACCTTTACACACATCTTTTACAACTGCACTTTAAAAACACAAGAAAACTCCAGCACTCTCTGTAACGATTCCATAATAAATAGTAAAATAGTAGTAATTTAATTCCTAATACTTATAACATTTAAGCTGGCATTACAAAGACTGGTGAGGAATGCAAACTCATTTTGAGCCACCAGGTGGCAGTGTCCTAAAGCAAATCCCATCAATGCCATGAAGGCAGCGTTCTTGCCTTCAGCCTGAGAGTCTTGAGGATACAGCTGGTGGTTTTGGTTTTCACACCCACACTTTAACATTTGTTCCTCTCAAAACGTTCAAAGTTCCGACTTAGACTGTGGTTTTGGGTGGTGAGAAAGATTGGAAATAACATTCCATGGGCTTTTGTGTGGCAATGGGCCAGCACAGGAAAATGTACTACCTAAAGTATGCAAGTTTGAGCTCTCACTTTCCTTTTTACAAAATTAAATTTCTCTGGAACCAAAACGGAGCTGGAAATCAAGTACCTGCACAGGGGAGAAACAAAGACGATGAAAATCGAAGCTTGGGCCTTTCAAATCCATGAACCAGAGTCGTGTTTTTCGGACCCGGGGCCCACAGGCCCTGGAGCACCGGTGACCTCTCCCAGGTGCAGTCCAGAGAGGCACAGCTCTCGGCAGTGAAGTCAGGGTTGTTTCTTCCATGGTTTTGTTTTCAGCCTAAGCACTCCTCAAAGGAGGAAAGGCCCTGGTGAGGTGGTCAATGGGCACAGACAAGGTTGAGGAACTCCCAACTAGAGAGGGAAAACACTGCCACTACGCAACATTCAACTCCAGTGCCAATTACATGTAAAAATTGGGGCTGCTCAAAGTAAATACTTTTTAAGGGAGGCTGGACAGAAGACTTAATCAGTTCAATTCTGTGGATCTTTTAGTAGTACAAAACTACTAAAACCAATAAACAAGTGACTGTGTAGAATTTAAAAAAAATGTGCGGTAAAAACAAAAAGGACTTTTCTATCCTAGTTAATTGTCACAAACATTTACAATCAATAAAGGATGGGTTGTGCAGTCAAACATTCGTGCACTAACAAATAATACATTTCCCAAGTCACCACCTGTGTGTAACCAAGTATGTGTCCTAGTACTGTACTACAAACACGCACAAGCATGTGTGCATACATGTGTCTGTATCATCAGATTAAGTCAGCACTGCACCTCTATCCTCAGAAGTAATACTGCCTACATTTTTAAGAAATTCAGTTGAAATAATGAAGCACCTTCCAGTTCTCTCAGTCCAACAGCTCAACTGCCCAAGGAAAATGCGAAAAGGAAGAAAATCAAGGAACAGCCAAATGTTTGACTGGAGAAAGAGGCCTCATCTGCTGTGCCTTATAAATGCAAGCTGGTCTGTGATAGGGGAAGTAATGGCTGAACTGCACGAGTACACCTTCCAGAAAACCCCTAATGAATGGAAAACTGTTTTGCTTGTTAAAAATAACCAGAAGGTGCCCTACTGCAAATCACTCAATGCCTTTTCAACAAAATACACCAAACATCTGCTTAATAGAAAATGTGCAGCTTAAGCTTAAAAGGGATCAGAAATATATTGTGCTGTTAACCCCTTACAGTAGCAAGTGCTGACAGTATAAACAAATCGCAAAAAAGGTGAAAAACCAGCTTTTCCAAACAAAAAACATCCTTTCAAGAAGGCGATTAGCCAGAAAGCATGCTTGCAACTCCTGATCTTTGACCTGTGCAGTACACAAAGCACGTCTAACTCATGTTATTTGGAGGCGCAGGTTTCTTTGTTCTCCAGGAAAAGGTATGCCACAGATTGGAAGACTTCAGTGAGTGAAGGAAAAATATCCTCGCCAAGCATCAGTTTAACTGCTGCATTCACTGACTACCACTTTTAACTGCCAATAATACTGATGTCTTGCAGGGCTTGAGGATCAGCTATGAAGAAGAGCTGTGAAGCTGTGCAGAGATGTGATGACAGGACTCTCCTGCAAAAGGCCTGCGAATTTTAACCAAACATCCAAGAGCATCTTCTGCAGGCCAGTAGGCTGAGCTGGACTGGAATGAACTCTACAACTGGAAATGAGCACATTTCTCCAGTGTTGGCGAGAAGGAACGATTCAGCTTTTACCCTTCTTACAGTGCAAATGGCCTTGCTCAGAAGACTAGTTTTGAAATCATCCCCACATAAATGCCTTGATTATCCAACAGGACCGGTAAGATTATTTTAAGAGAATGCTGTGAATAGGAGCTACTGATAAAGCTTTAATTCATCACTTTAAGACACATTGTGAGCAGTTAAACAGAAATATCCATGGAAACCTGTCAGAAAAAGAGACCAGCTGCAGTCAAGACAGGTTTCCCTAATTCTCAATAACTTACAAGTTAAAGCTTTATAAATAGAACCCAAGTTTTGGCCCCGTCACCACGACAAGAGGAACTCTGTGATTTTAAAAAGGCTGAACATCTTCAATCATATTAAAATAACACCCAACATTGTTTCTTTGATCAAAATCAGTGGGTCAGCGTCAAAAGCTGGTTTCGCTCTTTAAAACCTCAATAAACACCTGTTAATCTGACAGATTAAAAATAACCAACCAAAAGCAAAAAAAAAAATCCATTCATTCATAAAACTTCAAACATGTACAAAGTTCCGGTTCCCAGTGGTTGATAACTTATTTGTCTTATAAACGGGTGTTTTTGGCTTTACGAATGGAAAAGTAACGGCTTTGAACATCAGCCCCGCCGTTTGTTGTATCGGGGAAAAGGGGAGGGA